TCGATCTCCAAGCCCCGTCCAAAGCGCATAGGAAGCGTGGCCACGGAAGCTCCTAATGAGGCTAGGATCCGTAGGTCCACCAGGACACTCACCAACAAGCTCCCACGGTGGAGGACCACTCGAACGTCCTCCCCTACTCCGTCCAGTCCCCGAGCTCTCTGTCTCCTCACGAGCAGGTGGTACGAATCGCCCAGCTCGGTCCCTATACATAGCAGGACGTGATGTTGCTGTACAAGACGGCACTCGTCCATGTCCACGCGTAGGTGGAGGGACCTCGATATCCTCATCATTATCGTCCTCATCAAACTCAGCCGAGACCACTCTCGATGCAGCACCCTGGTTCCTCCCATGGGAACCAGATGCCCGTGATGCCGAACGAGCAACTATAGTAGGAGCCTCTAACCCATCCTCCCCTAAATTTGCCTCTGACTGATGTCCAATATCTCGAGAGCGCTTCTTCTCCTTATTCTTCTTAGGCACCTTCCTTCGTGTTGATGCATCAACAACCCTATCATTGAATCTATACAACTCACTCCCACCCGCATCATCCATATCTAATTATCTACAAATTTACACAATATCATACTTAGATGCGCACTAATTAATTAAATTTCTATTAACTAATGTACTATTAACATTAATTGTTAATTAATCACAAATTAATTAATTTTCTATTAACTAATGTACTAAATATTAACATTAATGGTTAAACCAATTCTTAATTAATTAATTTTCTATTAACTAATCTAAGTAATTAAACATTCATACGCTTATTACAACAAAAAAAAATTATACACCAACTTAAATAAATATTAACACTAATTGCTAATTTCTATGAACTAATTAAGTAATTTTTTATTGACTAATTAATTAACATATTAAAATAAATTAAATATAAAAACTGGCCGGGCCGAAAAAATTTTGCGGCCGGGGCGCCGTTGGGCCGAAGATATTTGTGCCCGGTGCGCCGCCTTGCCGAAAATATTTTGCGGCCGGTGCGACGCCCGGCCGAAAATCTTTTTCGGCCCTTCATCGGTCCGGCCGCAATTTTTTTTCAGCCGGTCGCCGAACACGCCGGCCAAAATTTTTTCGGCGGCGTGTTCGGCGACCGGCCAAAAAAAAATTGCGGCCGCGGCCGAAAATTTCTTTCTGCTCGGCGGCGTTCCGGCCACAATTTTTTTTCGGGCCACCGTGTTATTCGCCGGAAAACTGGAAAACTTGCCGGAAAATTGAAAAACTTGCCAGAAAAAGTAAACTTACTTGTTTTCCGAAGATTGCCGACGATGGGAGGTTTGCCGGCGACGGAGGAACGGTGCCGGCGACGGAGGCACTGGGCTCGTCGACAAAAGTGTTTTTGTTGGAATGAGTCAAATGTTAATGGTATTCAAATTTATAGAATGAAAGGAAGGGAAGGAAGGGAGAAATCAAAATTTGAATTCAACTTTTTTTTTTAGTTGGCGGCAAATAGCCGTTCACCTACTTATGTTCCATTACTTCTCCACATCACTTTCAAACTCTTCAGGTGGCTCCGGTGACGATTCCTACTCGATACTCTCAAGCTAAAGGTGATCCAAATCGGGATGGTGCCATGACGACTGAGATTTCTTTCCTGCATGCTGCTCATACATGGGACCTTGTTCCTCGACCTCCACCAAAAATTCCAGTTATCGGCAGCAAATGGGTCTACAACATCAAAGTTCATCTGGATGGTTCGATAGAGCGGTTTAAAGCTCGCGTCGTGGCACAAGGTTTTACTCAAGAGTATGGGATTGACTTTGAGGACTCTTTTGCTCCTGTCGCAAAAATGCTAACCGTCCGCACTCTCCTTGCTATTGCTTTACTTCGCGGGTGGCCTCTTTACCAGCTTGATGTAAAAAATGTCTTTCTTCACGGTGATCTCAAGCAGACTGTCTACATGGAGCGACCCCTGGGTATTCTCTTGGTTCCTCAGATCAGGTGTGTTTGCTCCGTCGCTCCATCTATGGTTTGAAACAGGCACCTCGGGCATGGTTTGATAAGTTTCATACCACTATTTTGGATCCTGGATTTCATTAAAGTCCCAACGATCACTCATTTTTTATTCGTAAGACTTCTCACGGTATTGTTCTCCTGCTCCTATACGTAGATGACATGATTGTCTCGGGTGATGATGAAGCTGGCATTCAAGCTTTGACGAAGGGCCTCCATGAATCTTTTCACCTTAAGGAGACTGGATCTCTCTCCTACTATTTGGGGCTCGAAGTTACTCGCTCTCCGTCAGGGATCTTGCTCAATCAACGAAAGTACATTGATGATTTACTTGACTCGGCCAGGTTCGGAGACTGGCTTCCCGTGGCCACACCCATGGAGCTAAACGTGAAGTTGAGTCGTGACTCTAATGATCTTCTTCCTGGCGGGGGGGGGGGGGGGGGGGAGCAATATCGTAGCATTGTGGGTTCCCTCATTTACTTGGCATCTACCCGCCCCGATATAGCCTTCGCAGTTCATATAGTAAGTCAATTCATGGCCACTCCTCGTACTTCTCATCTTGCTGGTGTTCACCGGATACTGCGGTACATTCAAGGTACTCGCGAAGTCGTCCTATTTCTTCCATCTACAGGTTCCCCGGTCTTGCAAACCTTCTCGGAATCTGATTATGCTGGCTGCGTCGATACTAGAAAGTCTACTACGGGGTGGTGTATTCGTCTCGACAACTCATTCATATCTTGGCGATGCAAGAAACAAGATCGGGTGTCTAAATCTTCTACAGAGGCCGCATACCAAGCTATGTCTGATGTCACCTCCGAACTCGAATGGCTGCGTCGTCTTTTGGGCGATCTTGGAGTTGAGTGTGTGGCTCCCATGGAGCTCTATGTTGATAACACCAGTGCAATCCGGATTGCCACCAATCATGTTCTACACGATCGCACTAAACACATTGAAGTCCATATCCACTACATTCGCAACCTAGTCCGGGATGGCATAATTAGGATTTTCTACATTACTTTGGAAGACTAGATCGCGGGCATGCTCACTAAATCATTCTCGGATGCTCGTCACTCCTTCTTAGCAGGCAAATTGATGATGCAGTCACCTCCCCATCAATTTAGGGGAGGGTGTTGAGATATCGGGTTTGTATGATAGGGCCTCTGGCCCATGGGGTGTCTCGGCCCACAATGTATTGCCGAAATTGACAGTAGCATGCGGCTAGGGTTAGGGTATTGCTCCAATTGTGTATAAATGCACCTCTGTGTAAACGTATTGAAGCAAGGAAAATAAGAAAAGTAGAAAGCTTCCCGTGAACTAGTCTTGTTCACAACGAACAAGGAAACTACGTAAACTCGTCTTGATTCTCTTTGTTTACGTTGTTATTACTAATCTTGTTTCGATTATCACACAAGATTGTGCATTTGTTCCGCTCTCATATTTTTGTGTAGCAGAATGCAGAAGTATGAGAACGGGGGAGGATAAAGGAAATAAAGGATCAACAACAGCTATTGTTCTTTGACGAAAGAGATGAGGGTATATAAGCTTTACTTGTATTTTAAGGCTACCATCGACACCTTTCTCATAAACACTCCGAGACATTGAAAAGAAGTTCTTGTGCTCTCTTATTATAAGTGGCGCCACAAATCGTGTCAATCCCCAACAAAGTCATGCTGAAGCCAATTTAATATCTCCATTTTTACATAATTGTATCCATGGAATATATGATCTTTTGCAAAAGAATTAAGCATCGGATCCTATTTAATTGAAGAGCTTAGAATAGAGGGTATATTGGTGGTTGCCTGCCGACATTCTAATTCATATTTGCTGGAGAATATAGAGAAACCAATTGTTTAAGATAGGGCTGCAAAAAAACTCAGATTATTTGAAAATCATAGCCCAAACTGGACTGCACAGTTTGGTCTTAACGATAGACGGTTAAATATGGTCTGATTCATGGTCTGTATTTTATGATGTTTTGATCTCTTGGTCTGATTTGGTCTAGAGCACGGTTTATCGGACCTAACCGTGGACCTAGCCGACTTCTTAATACATGTTTGCAGCCCACTCGACCAACTCTCACAATGATACCCAAGTCCTTCATTCACAACCACATTTCACCAGAGAGTAGAGACGATCATGTCTCCATAAGACATTATGTAAATGTTTAGACTTTATGGTGCCAGTAGTTAGAATGCTTTGACTTTGTATCTTTATTATTTATTGAGATTTATGGTGTCAAAATTATTCCTTGCTGGAATTTGTGTTTTAAGGCAAAACAAAAACAATTTTTTTTTTTTTTTTTTTGCTATTGGTTCAATTTTTATGTGGTTGACTAATCAAATTGTTTATTTTTTTCGTTCAGTATAGTCTATCTTGCACAGACCGTACCGGATCAGACTGCATAGACGTGATATAGTCTAGACCGTATATATGGTCGTGCTTTCTAGTCCTCGCTTCAAAACGTGTACGTACATTTTATGGGTCATCACTAATTTTGTTATAAGATCGAACAGGATAAATGCATACTGAAACTCATTTTAGTGTTCTTATGAACCCCATAATTGTAAACCTTACTATGTATTAATGTGGTTATTAAATTAGCCACCAGGTTTTTACACGGGAGAATAAAGGCCCCTTCTTTTTTTGTTGGTATGCAATGCATTACGATTATTATAATGTGGGTTTCTTTAACTTTCATTTTGTCAAAAGACCCATCCACATGGCCAATTCAATATTCTCCAAAATCATAAAGCTGGGAGGCAATGATTCACACAACACACAACCAAGAATCAAACAGCTTACAGTGCCAGTCAAGACCTAAAGAGGAAGGAAATTTGGAATAGGTTAAAGTATAACACCACCACTATCCATTAAAATATAGCATTTTTGGAGATGAGAAGCTTCCAAGTTCCTCAGAGCACAAGTTTCCTCTACTGCTAAAGTGCAAATATGCATGTTAAGAACTTCCCAGTCCAGTAGTATATATGGATAGATGGATAGTCGTCTCTCTCTCTCTCTCTTACTCTGTCTCCGATCCCTATATATGCATTCTCGGTCCTCTCACACTACAGACAAGTAGCTTGGTTCCCAAAGAAACCCTGCTCACTTTATAATTTATGGAACTTATTTCCCAATAATTTGCTGTAAAATCCAACAATTGGCTTTTGGCTCCCACAATTGCCATGGCCTTGCCGCCATCGATGCTGCAAACTATATGTTTCCTATACGCCGCCCTTCTCCTGCTCTCTTCATCTTCAGCTGACCCAATTCGCCAGGTTTCCAATCTCTCCCTGTTTCTTCTTTTCTCACTCTGTTTTCTTGGGCTGAACGGGGAATCAATCATGTTATAAATTGTGATTAATTAATGTTTGTTGATCCATCATGAACGGCAGCAATATGTTGTTTACATGGGAAGTTCATCTTCATCAGCAAATGGCGGCGAGTTCGCCCCAGAATCTGCGTACTTGCAGATGTTATCCTCTGTTACTGAAAGGTAAGCAGAAGAACCAAATGATGGTTCAAATTCAAATCACTGTATGATGACAGGTATTGATTTGGGAAAATGGGTTTTGTTTCTGTAATTGTTTTGTTAGCGATGACGGCGGGGAGATGGGGTTGGTCCGCCGCTACCAACACGCTTTCAGGGGCTTCTCCGCCATGCTTACAGAGGATCAAGCTTCTGCTCTGTCTGGTACTTGTTGGCCTTTTTTTTTCTTTCTTCTTCTTCTTGGTATGAAATGAATTGCGTGTGAATGGGTTAAACAACGTACTGCAGGACAAGAAGGGGTGATATCAGTGTTCCCAGATCCAATCCTGAAACTTCACACGACGAGGTCGTGGGATTTTCTGGAGTCAATGTCAGGATTAAGTAATTTGATGAGCAGCAGCAATTCTTCTTCTTCTTCTTCTTCTACTTCAGGGCATCACATTTCCGGCGTCCCTTCACCTCGACGCGATGTGATCATCGGAGTAATCGACACTGGTAATTTTCTTCCATTGGACCGACCGCTTGTGTTCACGTAGAAACAGGGGAGGAACAGCACATGAAAGAATGGTAGGCTAACCACATGACACGAAAGGAAGTCGTCAGCCATGTGCCTAACATCCCATGCTTCATTGTCACTCACAGCCACAGACAGTCGCACATTGTATTCATATACATCAATGCTGTCGATATGTTATGTGTTGTTCTCTGTCTGTACAGAAGCCTCTGCCCAAAAAAGCATTTGTTCAATTTGATTGGGTTTCAGGAATATGGCCAGAGTCGCCGAGTTTCAATGACGAGGGAATTGGTGAAATCCCTTCACGGTGGAAGGGAATCTGTATGGAAGGTTCTGATTTCAGAAAATCCAACTGTAATAGGTATGTTCATCGTCTTTCACTTAATCAAATTCTGGTTGGCTTCAACTTTCACGTAAATAATTAAGTGCTTTTCAGATGATGATGAATTGATGATGACAATAGAATATTTTTTTTTACTTTTGTAAGTGCGAGTATAAATTAAAATTAAGTTGAATTAATATGTCACTGCTCTCCTTTGTTTTTTTTTTTTTTTTGCTTTTTTATTTTGAGTATTAACAAAAGTAACAATACACTAATGACAATCTCGTTTGGAAGTTGCGATTGTTAAATAGATGTATTGTTGAGAATGCATGTATAATATTATACATGTATTGTCGAATTTGATGCATTGTAGAATACAACGTTTGGTATGTGTGATTGTGTATGTCGCATCAGCTAAAAGCTGAGACAAAACAATCTCAACTCAACTATCTCAACAATCACAACTATAAGTTGAGATATAACAATCACTCAAAATGAGTGATAGTTTCTGTCATATCACAAAAACAATCCATGTATTGTTTCTGCTAAAAAAACAAAAAAACGATGCATTGTAAACAATACATGCATAATGACAATCTCAACAAAACTATCGCAACTTCCAAACGACCCCTAATGTACCAATTATGATGACATTTCATAGCTTAGTTAATAATGAGGGAAATGATTGATTGTTGATGTTAACCATCACTCCAAAGTCGAATTGTAGGTGACAATTAATTTGAATATTTATTTATGATCATATTATTTAAATACTAGAGCAAGATCCAGCAGTACTAATCCAAACATCAATCTGAAATCGGATAATATATAGTAATTAATTTGAGATTTGTTTATATCTAGGGTTTAGACTAGCATATATCTGTTGTACGCTAATTTTATGGTATGTCTTGTTAGTTTTACTATTTTGACCAATGAATTATTTGAAGTTTGAAACTAATACTATATTTTAATCTATAGTGAATAAACCTTGTATCATAATTTTCAAATACCAAATCATAAAACCAATTTAATCAAAGATAATAATTGAAGGTTCTGGTTATCTACCTACATCTGTGAATGCAATACATTGTTGTCACGTCGGTGGAATGTTGGTTGATTGAACCTGAAATGCAAAATGACGTCGTTTTAGTGATTTAATTAATAAAAAATTAATTTATAATGTATTTTATGAATTTGAAAGTTGAACGTTGATGTTATTTTTTGGATTCAAGTATAAACATTTGAGTGTTGACGTTACATGTATTTAGATACCAGTATTTTTTTATTTTTGTTTGAAATGTTATATTTTATTTAAATATGAATGTGGATTGTAATTAGATTGTCTTCAAATATGATTTACATATGTTTGAAAACATATGATGCTAGTAGTTTTTCAAATTTCTACATATTTTTTTAAATAAAAATAAATCGATTGTACTTACCAAACCATACTACTCGCTAAACCAACACAACAATATATTCCAAAGATATTGTACACGCTTACACTATCCTATTTATTATTTGAAAATGGCAAATGGGTGCAATGGTACGAACCAGGGGTGTGCAATGGTACGGTCCGTACCGGACCACACCGGACCAAACCGTTGTTAAGACCGGACCGGACCAGACCGAGTAAAATGCGGTCCGGTCCTTGGTCCTAATGAATTTTATAATTACTGAAAAAATAGTGGACCGAGCTCATATTTGGACCGGACCGAACCGGACCAAATGGACCAAATGCAAGAATGGTCCGGTCCTTGGTCCTAACATGTCTTTCACTAATGGACCGCGGTTCTCATGAATTTGGTCCGGTCCGGACCGAACCGAACCGTTGCACACCCCTAGTACGAACCATTCTATTTTCGCAGGAAGCTGATAGGCGCAAGATACTACGGCACTGAACGAACCTACAATGACAACAAAACCCACTCTTCAAAACCCAAGGGCTCACCGCGCGACACCGTCGGCCATGGCACCCACACGGCCTCCATCGCCGCCGGCTCTCCTGTCGCCAACGCAAGCTACTATGGCCTCGCGCGTGGCACGGCCAAAGGCGGGGCGCCCTCGGCTAGGATCGCCGTGTACAAGGCCTGCTCGGAGGACGGATGCTCCGGTTCAACACTCCTGAAGGCGATCGATGATGCGATCGCCGACGGCGTCGATTTCATCTCCATCTCCATCGGAATGAGCTCGACTTTCCAGGCCGATTTCCTCGAAGATCCGATTGCAATTGGAGCTTTCCACGCGCAAGAAAAGGGTGTTACGGTGGTGTGCTCCGCTGGGAACGAAGGCCCTCAGCTGAACACCGTTGTTAACTCCGCACCGTGGATTTTCACTGCTGCGGCTTCTAATATTGATCGGGATTTTCAGTCGACTCTGGTTCTTGGAGATGGGCGAACTTTCAAGGTTAGTTTAAAACTTTGATTTTAGTTGACCCTCTGTCGCTCTAGGTTAATGGTAGCTTATTTTGAAATCATGGTTTCTAATTCTAGGGATCCACCATTAATTTTTCAAACCTCCGTCGCTCGAGGACGTACCCTCTCGTATTTGGAGCAGGAGCTGCTTCTAATTTCACCCCAATATCTGAATCAAGGTAAGGTGCAAGTATTTGCTTTTACTGAATTTGATGTTCAATGCCATGGAAATTATGCTTAGGGCGTTGTTTCTTCTGCTATGGGAATTTTCCAGCAACTGCTATCCAGGATCACTTGATAGAAACAAAGTTGCGGGAAAGATTGTAGTTTGCGTTGCAAGTGATTTCAGTATCTCAAGGAGGATAAGAAAAATGGTAGTGGAAGACGCAAGAGGTAGAGGGATGATTCTGGTCAACCCGGAGGACACTGGTGTCCCATTTGATTCAGGCACTTTCCCCTTTATTGAAGTTGGGGGTCGCTATGGAACTTCGATTCTGAAGTATATGAACAAAACCAAGTGTGTATTTCTTTGCTCCCACGTCAAATAGTGCATTCTCTGAAGAGATAGAAGATTGCTACTTGATTATCATTGACTGTAATCCTGTCCTAGGAACCCCAAAGGGACTATCTTAGCAGCGGTTGATGTACCAGGATACAGACCAGCTCCATCCGTGGCGTATTTCTCTTCTAGAGGGCCGGGACCCCTGACAGAAAACATTCTCAAGGTAATATACCTAAACTAGCTCTCATTTTAGTTTTTCTGCCAAATTTCCAATTCAATATCGAATTGAAATAGTAGGATTGATTAACTGTTAAAAACTGTTGGATATTGTGCAATGTTGGTTCTAGCCTGATGTAATGGCTCCCGGAGTTTCCATTTTAGCTGCCTTTCCTCCTAAGAATGTTACTGGGACCGTACCAGCTGGAGAGAAGCCGTCCTGGTATGCTTTGAAATCAGGAACATCCATGGCTTGCCCTCATGTGACTGGTGCTGCTGCTTTCGTCAAATCTGTGCATCCCAAGTGGAGCCCTTCCATGATAAAATCCGCACTCATGACAACAGGTAACTTGTGTTGTTATACATTAATAATTGTTATGATAAATCTCTCCAAATTGGAACCTATTTTCTAGATCTATTCGTAGTATTGGACTCTCCGAACAATTGGAAGTAACATTGCAGCAAACCAAATCTTTATATATTGTACTTGATCTTTCGATAGTTGTATGATTCATTCACTTTCAGTTATATAATTTGGATAGTAAATTGACAGGTTTTAGCCCTACATCTTGTGTTAGTGTTTTTAAAATTAGCTTTCCAACTTTAAATTTAAGGAGTCTTTTGGTAACCAGGGAATGTCCCCTGTGAACCTGAGAATATATGATCTCCAACAATATATCTTATTTTCTTGTATGAACTGATACACCATATGTATTCCACTGAATTGCATGGGGTCCATTATAATTCCTACAAGCCATAATACATTCTTGCTATCTTATCCAAAAAGCTGATGATTTCATAAAATTTTACAGTGCATGGTACCCCTAAGTTTCTAATGAAATGCCTTGTGTTGTGCCGCAGCCACTGTTTTCAACAACCTGGGGAAACCAGTGATGAACAACTCAAGGCAATCGGCTAGCCCACACGAGGCTGGAGCTGGAGAAATAAACCCAATCAAAGCTCTCAATCCAGGACTGGTCTTCCACACAACAACGCTAGATTACCTCCGGTTCCTCTGTTACTATGGATTGTCCAACAAAGACATAAAATCTTTGTCTCCGCGCACCAACTTCACTTGCCCATCAAACTCTACAAACAATGACCGCCTCATGTCCAACCTCAACTACCCATCAATCTCCATCGCTGTGCTTTCTCGACGCCGCATTGGTCGAGCTGCCACTGCCACTCAGACCATCACCAGAACAGCAACAAACGTTGGACATGTCAACTCCACCTACATTGCCATGGTCCATGCTCCTAGTGGGTTGAGAGTGGAGGTTCTGCCGCGGAAATTGGTTTTTACAGAACGGGTAGGGAGACTAACTTTCAGAGTGGTATTTAATGGGACGAAAGCTCCTCGAGGTTACAATTATGGGTCCTTGACATGGCGTGATGGTCGCCGCCATTTGGTGCGCTTAGTATTTGCAGTGAATGTTGAATGATGAATGTTAGGCCTTGTAGGGATCATAATTGTTACGAGATGCGATTTTATTTTCGTTTATAATGAGATGTATTGTTTACGACTTTGCGTACCTGTGTTGCTTGTGGTTCCTTTTAAATTTCCTTGCTCTTTAGGTTAAGGATGCCACCTACACGACACGAGGCTTTGACAAAGATGAATTCTCCTTTTATTAGAACTAGTTTTGTGCCCGTCCGATGGGCGGCGAGTGTTATCTATTTGTACTTTTCCTTCTATTATTTGTTATTTTTTCAATGGTATCATATTCCTAATTTTTATAATTATTTATTATTGTTACCTATTATCATTGACTTATCTGATATGAGGGCCGCTATATTTACTCTACGTTTTAATGATGATCAACAATAAAGTCAAACAACGCTGTAACTTCATCACCGCTTGGACCAACAATTGTCAACTTCATAAGTTGTACATGGTTTAAGCTCGTGTACGCCACCTTACCGAACTCCTATAGAGTTGGTATTTAGACCATGTATTAAAGAAGTTTGGCACATGATGTTATACCATATTCTCTAATAGGTGAACCACGGTCTCTAATTCTCTAATCCAAATCGTACGATTCATTTAATGAAAAATAATAACCACCGATTCTTATTTGTCAAAATATATTAACATACAAATAATAGGTATGAATGAAGGTGCATATTACACCTCGAGTGTACGCTAGCCTTTTCTACCATTATATCAAAGTACAACAAAACTATTCTGCTATGCTTCTTACCTTCAACATTGTACGAATGATATCAAAGCAAATGTTAGTTATTGAGACGTTTTGTCTTCACTTCACACTATCATTCAATATTAAATATGTGACTGACTGTAACTGGAATTGTGTGACTTAATACAAACATAAAGGCGTTATGTTGTGCAGTCAGTATAGTAACTGAATTTACAGGACATCGTCATGATATGATCCTACGTTGATTTTATAGGACACTGGTCCGGGTACATCCCACCCTGGTATACTTGACATCAGTTAGGGTATGACCCGTAGTGGATTTATAGGACACCAGTCTAGGTACGATCTATGGTGGTATGCATGACATCTACTATACTACCCGAGGAATGTATGACTTGGCAAATTAAGATGTAAAATGCAATGAACCTAACCATGCATGTGATTGAATCCTTGTATAAATATTATTTATGATGTGGTTAAGTGATGGCTTTCTATGATGTGATATATGAAATGTGCATGTCGATGATGATGGTTTTCTATGGTGTTTTATACAATGATTTAAGATTGGATGATATGAAGTTTTGCTATGTTGGGACAGGGGTTACATGGTAATACCAGTATGATGTGATATTTGATGCATACGTGTTTAAACATTGAGTTATCAAGAGGTTGGGTGATGGTCCTTAATTATGTTGTGATGTATGAATTATTTGAGTTTGAGATGATGAATGTGATATGGCATGTGGTGATGAATGGATGTTTATTTAACTGAATAAGATATAACATATCGCATGTATCTTGACAGTTAAGTTAAGGCAGAAGGCCTGAGAGGTGGGTGATGGAAAACTGAATACTCCATGTTCTGCCATGGTCATGGGAGGGACAATAAGTCATTTTGAACTATACTCTTAAAGCTAACGGAGAAGATATAGATCATTATCTTATGAGTAAGGCTCTCCAGCGAGTATAACTGGTTACTAAAAACATTAATAGTAATATATGTATTAGGGTGTCATATTAAGTAAGTATTAAAATATTTATTTACATATCAACCATCATATATCCAATAGTTTAAGATTCGTTTACAAATTTTGCTTAACTTAGGTGTTATTCATCTGAATATAACTCAAAGTTGCACATCTACACTCGTGTATGAAAAAGAAAGGAATTTATGTCAAACAATAAAAAGAGAAAAAAAGGAATTATAATTACATTAGGGAAAAAGTAAAGACAATGTGTTTTATAATTGTGCATGAAAGAATATTTAATGACGTACGGAAAATTAAAAGAGAAAGAAGTCGGAATAACATGACAGAAAAGATAATGATATCATTTTAATATGCGAGAAATGCCAAATTCAATCCTAAAAATGACAAATGTATTATGTATATGTATATGACTCGTTTTAAACCATATAACCATAATCGGTTTTTAAAAATATACAAAAAAACATTTGGTGACCATTGGTGTCTAGTGATATTCTTAAACACATGAAATTTTGTGTATATATCAATGTACCATATGACTGAACTATGTTGATATATTTTATATATTTATAGTAAGTATTTTCTAACAAACTGCAACATATCTAAATTGGTTCACATATTTATAGTAGTTCGTACAAATAAAATATTAAATTCTTCGTATTCTAGAATGCGGAAGAAGATTATTCTTTACTTTCATTTTTCAATTTTAAAAGAAAATCACATGTCAAATTATGTAAAAGTTTATAATTGTGTACCAACTAAATTTATGCTTTTTGGATTTTTTTAATTATTTGTAAGAAATTATTAACAATTATAAAACATATTATAAACTAAAAATAATTTATTTGTAGATGTTAATGATTTTCTTATCAATGCTAAAAAATAGAATATAAAATTTTAACCGTGATATCTGTTTTATTGGTTAAAAAATAGTTGTGATTAATTGCATGAAAGATATTTTATTCTATTGGTTAAAAATTTGAAATGATTACAGTTTGAGCTTGTAGGTTGCATGAATAAATCTTAGTTATGGTGATTGCTATACATGTTTTGTTGTGGTTAATAGCATCAAATATACTTTATCCTAGTGGTTGAACATTTGAAATGATGATAGTTTGACATCATGGGTCACAGGTTCAAATCTTAGTCATGATGATTGATATACATATTTATTTAGTTTTATTTTAATCTAACTAATAACTTAAAATATTAAAAATGACAAAATAACATGGAAAATTGTGGAGATTTATTTGTCCTACGTGGCAAAAACTTGGTCCACAACGGTCATAATATAAGTTAAGAAATGGGGATAACCGAAATAAACGTTAATCATTGGATTCTTTCACATTATATCAATTGTTATTTGATCGGCTAGATAGGTTGTATTATTTGATCGGCTAGATAGGTTGTATTGATTTTACTAGTTGCGGGCCCGACCAGTTGGTCGGATTCCATCGCCAATCACATAAAAACATTAGCAATTTGTATGCGAGTTACACATTTGTTTTGTAGTATAATAAAATTTGAATTAGCAAAATACTCGAAACATTAAATTGATTGGCAAAATAAGAAAATCAAAACTATTAAAATACGTCAACAATTCATAAGGATCAACAATCACATAGTTCTCCAACATTTTAATGACTCACAATGACATTCTCAAATCAATCTTCTCTTTAGTCCTCGTCGTCGTTATAGATTAATACACATTTTCTTTTTTACTTGTTTTCATTTCCTCCGTCATGAACAACATTATCTTCTCCACCAATAATCACGTCTTCATCTCTATTTGTGAGACATTTATATACATTATCAATTGCTTCTTTCTTCTTCCATTCCATTTCAATACTCTGCGAAGTATATTTATTCAATGCCTAAAACCGCCTATTGGTTGGACCAATTGTATTTTATGTAAAATCAATCGATTTTTTTTATCTCCGAAGTGATTTTTTTTTTGTCATAACTTCCTACGATTAAATATTTGTAGTCAACAATCAATCGATGATTTAGACCATTGTCATAAACCATATATATTTCTAAGTCAAGATGTTTAATACTTAATTATTGAGAGTTCGTTATGTCTCTCATAAGCCTATGTTGAAATATTTTGGCATATATAATGATTTCTAAATTATTTAATGTTGACTCATTCCTAGCGTGGAGATTTGTAAACTGTCGATGGAAGACATTATGCCTCAATTTTTCAACCATGATACACAAATTTATTATTTTATACAATATACGTTAGCTAATTATTCTCAAAATTAGGAATAACGTCAAACAATGCTTATTGACCCCTCAGTATATAATTGAATTTATCACTGAAAATGTTTGATCTCTAGAGAATATTTGTTTGTCCGAATTCAACACAAAATGACACATCATCAACGTTCCATCCTTGACATGGTATTTTAGTTAGTAATTCCTTACTTCTAACACATTCTCTTAAAAGTTAGATAATCTTGGTAAATTTGTTACACTTAATATTTTCTTATTAATATAAGTAAGTGATAGGATGTGTCTATAACACATTGCGAGCATATGGTTCAAATCAAGGTCTCAAACTAGTTTAAACTGTTGAGCTAGTCAATTAAATGGTTTGAAATTCATGGTCGGATGGGGTCCAACCAATTCAAGCCATCTTATCAATATTACAAAAGCTTATGTGTATATATGGTAATAATTCAAGATTTTCATAACGTGAATGTCAATTACAGGTACCATATAATAATTTAACAATTAATATATTGTTTGACTCTAAAAGATGTGTATATTGCTTCATTTTCTATAATAGATTTGGGAGAGGACCAAAACGCAACATTCTATCTAATAGTTGAGAATTGGTCAATGCATTCTTTCTTGCCTGTTGCTATGATCACTACTCTTTTTCTATTTTCCACCCTCCATCCCTTCCTCCATCCAATGGTTTAGATAAGTTTGCAACAACAACAAAAAAGCGGCGGACTGGTAATTCCGACATGCTAACTTTTTTTTGTTTGGCCTGACACGGATTCAGATGAGAGAGAAAAGACAGATGGGCAGCCAAAGTCTACTTTTCCTAATTCTCAATTTTCTCAATTGGATCCTACAACGTTCATTTTAACTTATAATTTAAAAAAATTTGTACAGAAAAAATGCATTAAGTATGAACTACACAATTACATCCATTTTGATATATTTTGAGCAAAGAAAAAAAATTAACTCTTCAAAACACGTGTCTGTTGTAGTATTATTACTATCATATCTATCATATCATTATGATATAACATTGATATGATGATCCATCTCCTTCATTTCAACTCAGAATTAAAAAAATTATAGAAATAATGCATTCATTAAGATCTATAAATTGATATCCATTTTGTCATATTTTGTCAAACATAAGACCTCGTACTAACATCGTATCATTGTCATATCATGATATTATCATTATGGTGATAATATCATCATACCATACTGATAATATGATGATATGACCATGAATGATGTCATCAAATTATTTTGTTAAACATAATACGTCATAAATCAACATCATATCAGTGTCATACCACCATCATTAATTAAGTTATACACAATGATATTT